TGTTTTTGTGAAGGGGTAAAACTTGTGAGCGTTTAATATTTCTAAAGATATGGCATTTAACATTTTATTTGTAATTGAATATAAATAGTTTTTTTTTTTTAACGGGCTTGTATGATTAAAGTGTGAACAAATTGGACCACATCATGCCATAGTTCATGTGAGAAAGAGCCCTGTGAGTCACTAGTTGGCAATTTGGGCTGAGAGTTGGTTGAGTTAGTGAGGGTGGTCCTCTCTTTTCACTTTTCTTTCTGTAAAAACTGATCTATAACTGTGAAAGAAGTGAAAGAACCAGACCTTTTTAAAAGCTTAGATGAATTAGATTATGAAGCAACATTTGTTGTAGTTTTAAGTTGGGTGCCCAGCTTTCATTTTTGTTAGCCTTTTCCTCTTATAATCTTGTTGTGGATCTGCTAATCCAGTAGATGGCAGCAAAAACTTACTACTTATCCTGTGGTGCGACCACATGAATTATGATTGAATTTTTGATTCATACTTTCATTCAATTGCGATTAATCTAGCCTGTAGTGAAAAATCACCTGCAAGATCCAACGAACATAATTAACAAGAATATAGAAGTATGACCAAATAGAAGGCCCTCCTCCCGGCATCAAGAGTCAGGTTTTTTGGATGTGCAAGCCCCAATGTATTTCATTCTTGTTTTAGTGTCATTACAAAATTAACATGCTCTGTCCAAATAAAGAATTACTAAAGATTATGAAGATGAATTCGATTAGGTTGAAATATTGTGGATATTGGCCATTTTATTCCATCAAAAATAGTAGCAGTAGCAGTAGGAGTAGCAGTGGTAGTAGCAGAAGCCTGTAGTATTGCAGCTGTAATAGTAGTAATATAAAATACCATATTATTAATTATCATCGTTTTATTTTAATATGAATAGTAAGACATCGTACTTATACAGCGCTTTTTGGGGAGGCGCTTCTAAGGCAAGAGACTTTTAGAATATTTGCTTTCTAATGTAATTATAAATTTTCTCCACGTGATGGCGCCATAGTTAAAGAAATGGCAGAAATACTTATGTCAAACCTTTGAAAGTGAGTGCAAAAAACCGCCAACCGTAGTCTACAGAGTATATCTATGTACATATACAAATATACATATTCATAGTATGTATTTCATTATTTGGAACGGGCTGATCCATAAATGCTGCATGTGTATGTTGGCTCAGTGCAGTTTGTGTTGGAAAGGTGGGCGTTCTCATCTCACAGAACAGGTGCAACAGTGAGAAATACGCCTACTACAACACAACACACATTTTCAAGCATTATACATCTTGTTGTGTGAGGTAAAGCAAATAGAAAATAGTTAGTTTTTGTATGCCTTGGATTTACATGAGGTCTGTTGATGCTGGAACATTCCCAATCAGCTCGTAAATGATAATTATTAAGGGTATAAGTGGTGAGTGTTTTTACGTTCAGTACTTAAGTGGTTGGATTCTGGTATCAGTACTTTTCTACTTATTATTTTGTCGGCCCATTGCTTTTACTCATTTCCCTGTACTTACTTTAAAGTACTTTCTAAGTTCTTGTGTATTTTGCGTACTGTAATGTTGTATAATGATCAAAACGTCTCAAATAAATATACTCTTTGCCAATTATTCAACAAAAATGTTCTGACAGACAGGAAGCAGCGTGTGCGTCTGGGGATATCTTGAACTGTCGGATTTCTCCCACAGTCCCACAGGGCTGTGTTCTTTCTCCCCTGCTCTTCTCCCTGTACACCAACCACTGCACCTCCAGCCTCGACTCCGTGAAGCTGATCAAGTTCGTGGATGACACCACCCTCATTGGACTCATCTCCAACAACGATGAGTCCGCCTACAGGAGGGAGGTGGTAAGCTAAATGTTTGTAACAGTGAGTTCAAACATCTGTACATTTTAAAAATGTTGATTTCACGTATCAGTCTGATGTGAACCACGCAACTTAACCTGTTTAATTTGGGGCTAAACATTTTGAGAAGATTTCCACATGCTTTTAGCAATATACTGGTGGAAGTTTGGCCCACTCCTCCTGATAGAACTCATGTAACTGAGTCAAGTTTGTTGGCCTTCTAACCCAAACCCAATTTTTCAACTTTGCCCAAAAAACGTTCGGTCAGATTGAGCTCATGGCTGTAATGGCCACTCCTACACAGGATCTTGAGCTAATTTTGTGCAGGTTTGGAAGTGTGCTTGGGGGAAATTGTCCATTTGGAACCCCCACCTGCACCAAGCTTCAACTCCTTCTTGAGATACTGCTTCAAAAGATTATGCAGTTCACCCCCACAACATGATGCTGCCCCCCACTTATATTTTGACACTTCATATTTTGAAGAAATGACCAAGCATCAGGAAAAATGTGAAAGGGTGTGTGTAAACGTTGCCACTTCTGTTATCATAGCTGTTATTATTTTGTCTGTACATGGTGTTTCTGTATATAGTAGTCATTTTAAGAAATATTTATGTAGATTTTTTTGTGTGCTAATTTTCATGCTTGCATTATTCTATGTTTACTTTTACAACTAGTTTGCACTGAAATCCAAAGCAATTTCCTAGTTTGTGACTTCCTGTTACTCACAATGGCAATAAAAAATAATTTGGGTTCTGATTCTGGAAAACGACAGAAAGATACTGCCATGATGCATTCCAACTATGAAAAAAGATTTTACATATTGCGTGTTCATACAGATCCCTTTAATGTCCTAATTACATAATACACAGTGTATGTCTACTGTCCAGCTGCCATCTGTTATCGCACACTGGTGATCTGACCGCGGCGACTTTCTACAATCAGGAGACTATCAGCCCCCGGCACACGCCACCACTAATCATGAAGATCTACCTCTCGATGTGGTTATGAGCTGTTCTGGTCCGTCTCTTCACAGTCCCTTTAGATGAGGAAGCAGCGGCGTTCCCTCGGGAGCTGTAAATGCCACCCTGAAATGTTGTCAGGAGCTTACTAGGTTCAACGTTTTCAATTAGACGGAGAAAGTGGAATTTCAGAAAACCACAGCACGTCTCCAGAATGTGGACCAACAGTAAGATCATTATCCATATACTGCATAAGGTAATCAACCAAAGTGAATACACAACCTTTAGAGACCAAAATTAGATGCTACACATAGAATAGTCATGATTTGATGCAATATACGTCTGAACCATTGCAAGTGCCTGTGAGTCACTATTTGACAATTTGGGCTGTAAGATTGGCATTTCCCTTTTGTCCATTGATATTTTATTCAAGATTCTGGCTTCTCAAAGGAGGTTTCTCTTTTCTATTTTCTCTCCGGAGATGTAGATCTGAAGATTAACGGGAAAATTATCAAGTACGATGGTAATATTTGTATTCATAATGATTAGGTTGGATGGATCTCATTATTTACGCCTTTCTTTTCCATTTGTAAATTGAAAAGCTTTAATTGAAGTCTGTACCAATGGCTGTTCATTTATAAAAAAGAGGTGAAACTAGGAAAATTATAATATTGTTCAAAAGTCTGTTTGCTTCTGTATTTCAATGTGAAGCTAACATATGGCAGACTCATTGGATGCAAAGTGAGACACATCGAGCGCCTGAGTATCTATCATATATTGGTTTCATATTTTTAGTTGAATAAAATAAGAATAAGAATGATATTCTTATTCTTATAATATTTTTTATATGATAAGAAGTATCTGTTGTACATTATAAAACCTCACTCTGGCTACTGCCTAAATTTATCAGCACAAGCCCTACTGTAATAGGCTTTGTCAGGAACCACAGACTGAAGTTCCTTGAAGCCAAAAGAATGTTCTCCACTTCCTCTTTATCTGCTCAAGTGATTGTTCCAAGAAACTCACATATCTAAGCCACAATTTCACTTCAAATGAATGATATTTACTTGTACCACACATGTTTTGAAGGATTTTGAATTTTAGGAAACCAGTAAAACTGAGGCTTTTTATTGTTTAACAGAAAGATGGCTGATTGGCTATGCGAGGTTTTCTCTTTTTAACTTTTCTGTCTGAAAAAGGTGAGACAGAGGCTATACATGTATAGTACTTGTGAAACTAGAGAGGAACCAGAAAGAGAAAGGCCAGAGAGACCAGCTGGAGAGACCAGAGAGAGAACAGAGAGAGAACAGTGAGAGTGAGAGCAGAGAGGGGGACTAGAGAAAGAGAGACCAGAGAGAGAGAGAGAGAGAAACCAGCAAAAGAGACCAGACAGACCAGAGAAAGAGAGAGACAAGAAAGAGAGGCAAGAGAGACCAGCGAAAGACCTGAGAGAGACCAGAGGGAGAGTCCAGTGAGAGACCAGGGTGAGAGACAGAGAGAGAGAGACTAGAGAGACAGGCCAGAGCGAGAGAGACCAGAAAAAGCTGATCTAAATATGTGAGAGACTCATAACATAGAACCACCACGTTAGATTTTCCCTTGGGTGTTGCGTTATTAGGTTACCCAGCTATCTAAGTGAAACATAACACTTCCATGATATGTTCTTATACCTTATAATCTATATATATATAATACTAGCTTGTCTTGCTGTCTTTTCCAGCTGCTCACTGCTCAAAGTGACTCCTTGGCGCTGTCCTTGGTGCTGAAACTCTCCACATCTCAAGACAGCCTCTATACGTGGCTTTGCTTTTTATGGTTTCTACACGAACACATTATGATTTTACGTTAATCCAACGTCACATATACAAATATAAAAAATAAATTAAAATAAAATAACAATTTATAGACTGAAAATCACACTGCTCCCTACCCGGCCTGATACACTCCAGCGAGGGGGCGGTTGCTTAACAGGAACCACGTCACCACGGTTTATCCATGTGCCCGTGACATCCAATAGACGGAGCACAGCTTTAGTCAGCCTCTTTTGCTTACAGGAGATCCCTCGGGTAGTACAGGCTTTCCACGGCGCAGGCTTCTTCCACGACCCAACGCCACGACAACCTATATAGGACCACTTAGGATCACCTCCAAAACCACCACCACCACCACTCCAGCCAAAACAGCGTAGCCACCATGTCCGTAGCGGGGTTCAAGAAGCAATTCCACAAAGCCACTCAGGTAAGGCGCATTCTTCGCTGCTTTGGCTTGGTGCGTAAAATGCGGTTGTATGTGTATGTGCAGAGCTGGTTTATGGTCACGCCACCCCCCCCTCAACCAACCACCCACCCACCCACCCACCCGGCCTCATCTTCGCCTATGCACCGCTCCTCAGAAGATTTCTGCGTGTAAAGAATTCCGTCTTGGTGCAGCACTGCGCCAAAATATATTATTCACGCAACGTCAATCGCGACTACTCACGCGTGAAAATCTTGTTATGTTTTACGACAGGGGTGGGGGGTGAGGGGGACTTGTGACGCTGCTGTAGGCGCTTGTAGTAAGACACGAGGGGCGTAGATGTCGGTTCCACGCCCGTACCCTTCAGATGACATTCCGTGCACATCTTTGGAGACGTATTCTAGCAAGCGTTGACCGCCCCTTCGCGTCCGATAGTGTTGGAATGCGCAGGTTGTAGGCAGATCCTGCTCTAAACCCGGGGTATGCGTGTGTGCGTGTTCCAGCCAACCACAGTGGGAACTCCGAAGAGGCGGTTATGCAATCGTATAGTGCGCCTTGGCGGAAATCCGCTCTTTCCACCGGCACGTTATGACCCCAGCGCCCTCTAAATGCGTTTATTTGCCAGTAGCACGCGCGGTGATTGATTCGTTTGCCCCATCATCTGCGCTCGGACTGGGTGAGGGGACTGGCACTGGTCGCACTGGGCACAGAGCTGCTGCAGGACGTTTGCCTCCCGTGTGATGAGGCTTGTGGGGGGCAGTGGCTCTTCCCACTCCAGCACTTACAGTATGTCTGTGCCTGTGTCCTCGTACAGGCCCACTCTGACTGCTGTGTCCAGGCTTGTGCACAGTGATGGAAGAAGCTGCTTTTTTCTAATTAGATGGAGTTCTTTGTGTGTGCTATGCAAGAGCGTGCAGCTTGCATTAAATACATAGAGGCGGTGTTCTGGCTTGCGCAAGTTTAAGATACACATGTTCTGATACACACATGTTTCAAAATAAACTACAATGAATGAATGAATTCAAAATGAATTCTGGATGAACTCTGCAGTTCATCCAGAGTGATCATGGGCCTCTTGGCTGCATCTCTGATCAGTCTTCTCCTTGTTTGAGATGAAAGTTTGGAGGGACGGCCGGGTCTTGGTAGATTTGCAGTGGTTTGATACTCCTTCCATTTCAATATAATTGCTTGCACAGTGCTCCTTGAGATGTTTAAAGCTTGGGAAATCTTTTTGTATCCAAATCCAGCTTTAAACTTCTCCACAACAGTATCTCGGACCTGCCTGGTGTGTTCCTTTGTCTTCATGGTTCTCTCTACGCTTTAAACAGAACCCTGAGACTATCAAAGAGCAGGTGCATTTATACGGAGACTTGATTACACACATGTGCATTCTATTTATCATCATCAGTCATTTAGGACAACATTGGATCATTCAAAGATCCTCACTGAACTTCTGGAGTGAGTTTGCTGCACTGAAAGTAAAGGGGCCGAATAATATTGCACGCTCCACTTTTCAGTTTTTTATCTGTTAAAAAAGTTTAAATGATCCAACAAATTTCATTCCACTTCACGATTGTGTCCCACTTGTTGTTGATTCATGACAAATGTAAATTTTATATCTTTATGTTTGAAGCCTGAAATGTGGCAAAATGTTGAAAGGTTCAAGGGGGCCGAATACTTTCGCAAGGCACTGTATGTGATTCCTGAGACACTAATTGTAACCATATAGTTGCCATGGCAGGAAGCCAAGGTTTCATCCTCATTATCCTTTAAGCCTGTAACATGTCTGATTGGACACATTCCCTGATTTCATTACAGGTGGGCGGATCTTAAGGTTTCAGGAAGTGTAATTCCTGATGTAAAATCCATGGATGTATTGTATTATCTGGATAGGATACTGTTGCTTTAGCCAGTCTTCAGCGTGGTAGTGGACACCGCGGTGGACACCGCGCTACTGCAGCCTCTGCCACATGTGGAGATTTCCCCATAGACCTCAATCTTAACGATACAGTTCAGCCTCAGCGGACAATGAACCTGCAGCTTTCACTAAGGTCAATATTTTGGTGTGGAGATTCTTGTCTCTTATTATTACATACGTTTTTATGTTTAAAAATGTGGTTTTCTAGTTATCCACATGTTTGTGCAACAAAGTAATTAGCAGGTAGCTAGTTAGCCTCCGCTGTGTCTTCAAACTCTATTTGCAGGTCCATTGCTTTACAGCCGATTTGGAATTCATCATTTTTGTGACAAGAAATCATTCCTAGACCTTTGAAAATACTGTATAATTAAAACCACTATATCAGTACGGCCATTTAATTATTTTCGCATCACTAAAACTACCACCGACCAAGCACATCCCGTAAGTCTGTCCAGCTGATAAGAGGGAGCAGTGGCCCGATAGTGGCAGTGATGTGGGTGAAGGTCATGTCGGTGTAGGGCCTGTCTGAGTGAGTGAGTGTGTGCATGTGTGTGTGAGTGTGTGTATGTATGTGCGTGTATGAGTGTGAGTGTGCATCATAGACAGGCCTTATTTACTGCTAATGAAGGGCTATAGATGGCTGACCTTTGCAGACCGCTCATAAACTGCCTGTTAGTGTTGGCTGTTCATAAATTATTATCAATTAGTTCTACAGCGCTTTATTAACAGATACATGTAGATTCATAGCATAATTGCTGCCTTTGAAACTACGGAGGGCATTTTATTACATCAATTATATAAAGAAAGGAAGTAACATGGCAAACTCAATTGTAATACTGTAGATTTTGAGCTTGTTTGATTCAATTTGATTCAAATCGTTTGTCCTTCTTTATCTTTATCTTATTGACCATGTGACAATGTTGTATAGAAGATCCATCCAGACTAATATTAGGAACGTCTGGTACAAACAAAAGTAGTTCCCCTTATTTAGTTTGTAATTTTCTAATGGTTTGCTAATAAAAAAAAACAAAAAATCTAATTCTTCTCTATATTTCTGTATCTTTGATACATGTTTTACCTTACATTTTCTATTTAAGTTAATATTACATTATTCTGAAACATGAAAAAGTGTATTTTTCATTTTGGATACAAGGTGTACGTCTAAGGCAGTGTTTTTCAACCTTTTTTGAGCCAAGGCACACTGTTTTCATTGAAAAAATCTTGCGGCACACCACCAGGAGAAAATGTAAAAATATATACTAATAATAATAATATCGCCTATATTTACAATATAAAGTCATTCTTATCAAAGTGCTTAAATCCAGGCCTTGACATTGAGCTTTGTTTAATATTTCTCAATACAATGAGTTAACAAGAGTTTGGGAATAAAGTGGGGGAGAAAAAACATAAAAAAATCCACTCTCAGCCCAAAAAGTCAAATAATGACTCAGAGGGCTCTTATATGTGAAATATAATGATGTTCTGTTTGATTTGTTCACAACATTTTACTTTTTGCACAAATAACATGCATTTTGAATGCATGGGGAAAATTTAGGTATCCGAGCTTTAAATTCAGGAATTTTGCGCTTCGGCAAAAGACACAGGAGAGACTCGGGGAGACACAGGAGATGGTCCATGACTTCTCCACAAAAGTGGCTAAACGATTCAGGAGAGGACTAATTTGGACCCTAATGTGAAGAGAGAGTGAAACCTTTTGAAGACTAACACTGGTTAGACCCGCCCATGTTCACCTCAGCAGCTTCCTGATTGGTCGAAATTGATTGAAATCCTTGAGGCTCCCTGTCATTTGTTTAACCATCTTCCTCCAGAAAATCTAGGTGGCAGTGTTTATGCTAAGGAGAAGGCCTATTTTGAATGTAATATAATTCAAAAATACTTGCGGTATACAATAGGGTGCCATGGTCAGAAATATACATTCATTTGAAAACAAAAAAAGATTGTATGTTGCTGACGTTACCTTTTAATTCTAGTGTTTCATCATGGCCCATGTTGTATCTTTATACAGCGCAGTGTTGTCACCAATATAATGTGCCATCTTGAATTTGATCATGCATTACATAGTCTTGATTGTTTGATTGTTGATGATGAAGTTTTGTACCACATGTTGCCATCGTTGAGAGTCTGTATAATGTTTCATCTTGGGACATATTGTCACAGTCTGTAATAGAAATTCGTAATATACACAATTTAATTATTTTTATTGTGAAATATACACACAGGGCCTGACGTTTGCGCCATGTATAATAGGAATGAGTGAATGGGTTGTTGTTAGGGACCAAGCAGTAAAGCACCAAGACAAAGGCTCAAATCTTCCAAAAAAGGGTTTATTGGCCATATAGACAAACAGGCCATTAAAAGGGTCAAAAGAATAGAACTTTACAGAAAGCAAATGTCAACTTAATAAGAACTTAACACAAACAAATTGACCTAAATGAAACATAACCCAACATATACTGCCCAGCCCAATTACCCACAGCTGTACCAGCCCACATAAGCCTGCCCCTTTTTCCTCTTCAAATCAGCAGGGACAAGGCTCATGATGTCATCCTGTGGGGTGTGGCCATCACAGTTGTGATGTTTGGGGGTTTTGGTGGGCCAGTGCGTGTCTCTCTCCTGTCATCCTCGTGTGTGGTAGTACGGCTACAACCAAAACTGCAAAGCGCTTTGTAGGACCTCGGCCCGTGAAATGCGCTACATGAATAAACAGTACTTACTTACACATTGTAGCTACTCTCCATTTGCACGTTTCTCGCGTTATTCCCTCTGCAAATCTGTCCTGTGTTGCCCATTTGTCTCATGCCCATCCCTCAGTCTCTGTGTGTGTGCGTTTATATTCCCATTGGTAACACAACAGAAGGGCGCCCTGAACCCTCCGCTCCCCTGTCCCGTCTGTGTAATCCCAAAGCAGACATGGCAATCTGGCTGCTTAAAACAAATGTAGAAGAGATGCACGTAGGACCCCCGCCTTGTGACAGAAGGAGCGGGGCCAGGAATTAAAGGTTCCGTGGTTTGATTACAGCAGAGAATGTCTTTGGTGTTGCATAAAAAGGGCTTGTTTTGTTTT